GAGTGAGCGATGCGTCCGCGTGGACAGCTGCTATACAATAATACATTTCCATTTACCTCCTTCTCTATATCCATACAAAATATCTATCAAACAAATAAAATTAAAATTTTCTTTTGAAAAATGAAACCAATCCATCACTATTTTCTTATGACGTTGTCACGTTCAACTATCGTCAGTAAACCGACTTTACAGACAACCGATTTTTCATTATAATGATTAATTCCGCTATTTATACGGTTGCTAATTACACATGTAGGTACATTCATCCAAAGAATAACATAAGGTTTATTTTAGAACTTGAGTGTAGCGACCATGAAATCCAAGAGAACAAGAAACATTGCTTCAAAGGATGCGCTTGTCGCGTTTGCGGAAGAAGGTACAAATATAAACACACTCTTGACAGACACCGCAAGTATCAGTGCAATGGGACAGCACCTCAATTCTTTTGCTCCCTTTGCCAATTAAAATTCTATTATAAGGGCAACTTTAAAAGCCATTTAATACATAAATATAAAATGATACAGGTGTAACACATTAAAATACATATAGTTTATTATCGAAATTGTTCATGTGCTTATAAAACGGCATTCTAAAAAAGTCGACTTTTATTGACATAGGTATCTACGTTTACCCTGCAAGATCCGTAATTCATCCAACTTAAAGTTTATTTTAGAGCTTGATCACACCTACCATGAAGTGGAAGAAAATGGAAAATTAGAGATAGATTTGCTTAACATAATTCTACCTATTTTATTTTATTATATTCGAAATTTCAGTAATTTCAAATGCATACAAGATAGTCAGGTAGGTTCTGCGAAGGTCTTCGACGACAACCACGTTTATTAATTTTATTATCAACGCTCTTCAATTATATGCAAGTTACAGGGATTTCGTAGCTCGAGGCAGAGTCATATCTTGTTGGGTTTTCCCCTTATTGACTTCTGGCTGGTATTCTTTTGTTGCAAACCAGGTATCGGTGGTGGCACCAGAACAATTTCTGATTTTGACACATAATTAAGAGTTAGTTACGCTTTGTCCTTCTTGTTAACTTGCGTTTTTAATTCATATTTTCTTCGTTGTGCCTGTAGTTGTAATCCGTTATTTCATAGTTAATAATTCATTTGTAAATGAAGTCTATATATAGTGTTTTATATTTTAAAGCAACATTTAGTAAATAAACATAAAAAGATAGGAATATAATAGATTAAAATATATTTTATTATTTTTAATCTTTAGCTAATATTATATTCCAATTAATATAAACGGACCTTCGACAACGAGTCGAAAGTTTCGCGTACTATTTCTATACGATCTGTTCGCTCAGTGTGAAACAACCTTAAAATCACAATTAAAATGCTACGTGATGAAAGGAGTGTATAATTGTGAAATAAACATTCTCGGTTCTTTGAAACTGCAAAGGTTAATTACGGAATTATTACAAACCAATCACTTGTATATGTGATTTCGTATTACATTTATTTAATTTTGTTGCAGATGCAAGCTCGGATTACATTTGTAGCACGTGTAACAAAAAATACAAACATTATAGAACTCTAAGACGACATCAACGATTAGAATGTAATAAAGAAGCCCAAGAAATTTGTCAGTTTTGCCAGAAGCGTTTCAAGCATCGACATCATTTAACAGTTCATATTTTGTTGGTTCATAATAATAATCAAAATTCGTAATCGTAAATACAAAGGTATATTTATTTATTTTGAAATGTTCAAAAGTATTTTTTAATTGTAAACACTAAAATATTACTGGTAGATATATTAATATTTGTATTTTCGTTAAAGAAAACTTAAAATCTGTGTTTCTGTAGGTACTTTAATAACAATAAATTAATATATGACAAATGGTAGCATTTTACGTGGCTGTTTTATTTTATGTACTTTCATGCTGTAGTAAGGCTTATGACAGACTGTTCGCTCAGTGTGAAACAACCTTAAAAACACAATCAAAATGCTATGTGATGAAACGAGTGTATAATTGTGAAATAAACAGTTAAAAAATTTCCAGATCTTTACTTAATACGATTATATATACAATTAAATTTCAGTATTATTTGTTTCACAAAAGGTATTTGGTAAGTGCTTATTTGTTTTGTTTCAGGTATGTACTGTCATCAGCAAGTCAATGTCTTTGAACCGAAAGTTTCAGGAGTAGAAAGGAGAAATTTCAAATGTGCTTACTGCAGTTATTATGTTTCTAAACAAAAACATAATCTAAAGCTGCATGTCTTACGTGTACACGTGGAAAAAATGAGAGAATTTGAACGGATTTATAAAGATCTTCAACCATCTTGATAACTGACGCCAACTCAAATGTGTATGTTAACTGATTCTACCAAGATCTTATTATTTATCTCGATTTTTTTAACGTACAAATGAGTTTAATAACGGCAGTTCGTTAGGTGTATTTTTGCAGTAAATATAAGTAAATAAAAACAATACAAAAATTAAAGAAAGACATATATATAATAAAATATATTTTTTGTTCATTTCGCTTAGTCTAGGTCAGGGATGCGAACCAATGGCACAATATTTTGGGCACGTCACTAATATCAATCATAAAGTCTAGTTCAATATGGATCCAAAACTTTATTGAAACAAGGGAACTAATTGAAACAGAAATATTGGCAGGTAATACAAGTGAAAATGCCAATAACAATATTTTGGATACATGAAATGCGTTACCAAACACTTTTAATTGTTTGAAGAAACTGGTTTATGCTATTTTAACAATGTTTTTTCCTCAACCTATGCCTGCCAGTCATTATTTTCAGAGAGAAATAACATTAAAAACTCGATTAGAAATCGTTTGACAAATTACACGTATAATTTAAACATTGCAAAATGTTCCTATTTTTTTGTAGTAAATAAAAATGTTTAAGTTGATATTATTATTATTTTTCCAATAATCACAAAGACAAAATTATTTGATGGCACATCTTTGACCTGATTAAACTTTTTTTATAAAAATGGCACGTCGATACGTAAAGGTTCGCCATCCCTGGTCTAGGTGCATCTCTGCTTTCATCTGCCTCCTGAACTTAATTTAAAATATTTGTTATTACTATGTGTTATAAGCTTTCCTAGTTTAGGAAATCAGAGAAAGTAATAAATTGTGTAGATATTACATTCTCCTTAGGTATAATATTTGATCAACTTTCTTATATGTATATCTATAGTAATATTTATCTAAGTACATTATAATATAAAAAAATTAGTAATGGCTATAATGACTTTTTGCTTAAATCTAGTAATGGTAGCTTACTTTTTGAGATAGAAACTTAGTTATTTAGTAAATATTTGTGTGTTAGTATAGGATATTATTTAGTACATAAGTTTCGAAGTTATACCTACTAGAAAGTGTTAAAACTGAACATGTGCATTTATGGCCAATTTTTTGAAATAAAAGCAACATTATATTAGTTAAGAATAAACTAGAAATGCTTAATGTTATTTAATAGTTTTACGTTTTCTAATGCTTTCTTCAAGAAAGATTTTGCCAGAAGCTATTTAAAATCTATGTTTGGTAAATGTTTCCTTTCGTATTTATTCTGATAATAATTGTAAGTATTTTTGCACGTTTCAGATGAGCCTAAGGAAGAAATATTCCTGGAATCTGACGATCCTTTTGAGTGTAAGAAAGAAAAACATTTCTTCCAATGTCCTTACTGTCCTCGAACAGCTCAACAACAACATATTCTAAAAATGCATGTTGGGAAAGTACATGCGGACAAAATGAGAGAATTTTACGAAATATATTTTGTATAATTCGTAGCCAACATGGTAATCAAGACATATCCAGTTAAATAATAAAATAGTTTCAAAATTGTAATGAATAACATAAGATAAATTAAAATATAAAACCGAATGCTCATCTTTTTGTTTAATGTGTACCTACCGTTGAGGCCACAATTTAACCGAGGTCTAGACCATTGCTTAGCATTCGGGAGGACGCCGGTTCGATTCCGGGTCCGTCTGCCTTGGTCCAAGTTTTTCTGTGGTTTCCTTAGATCACTTAGGCAAATGCTGAGGCAGTAATATTCCACAGATAATCTTTNGTTTCTTTATTGTAATTTGTGAGTAGAATATAGACGTACTTGTTTTTTTTTTTTTTAATATATTTTGTTTGAAATATACTCGAGCGATATAATTTGCTCGTAGGTACATTCCTGCTATCTAGAAGAATTAGGTAACGGAATTATTTTGAAACCTAAAAGGAGATGGTTATATTCAAGCATAAAATATGTATTGTGTTGTGTTAATTGAGACCTGTAAGCTATAAAAAATTCGTAGAGTTGTCTAGGTGGTGGAAATATGTATGTACATAAATAGAACGCCAAAGTAATTTTCACCCTGTTATTAGAATACGTATTACAAGACGACTAGAGATATGAGCAAACGCTTGAAGGGGATGATTCTGTCGAAAAGTGTCGAGAATAAATAAGAACGAAAAAAAATGCAAAAGTCGCCGTGTTCAGTTCAATTCAGTTACAATTGCATAACTGTGTGTGATTTCAACTCCTATCTTTAGTCTCTTGACGTATTTATTCACATTATTTGATAGTAGTAGTTCCGAGTCTGACATTTGTAAAATTTCAGCTCAAGATCTAAGTATGCGTGGCCTTTGGGGCGGTTGGCCGGCTCATATGGCATTGCCCTTGTTATTGATGCGCGAGAGTATGAAAAGTACTTTAACGCACACGTCAACCGACGGGGTTGATTTATCAATGAAATCGCCAAAATTAGCCCGTAGCACATCGTCGGATAATAACTCTCCAGGATTCGATTGTCAAGATTGCGGACGTATTTACAAGTTGAAAAGCTCATTAAGAAACCACCAAAAGTGGGAGTGCGGCAAAGAACCGCAATTCAAATGTCCTTGTTGTCCTTATAGGGCTAAACAAAAGATGCACATGGCTAGACACATGGAGAGAATGCATAGGCCTCCTGATAGTCCAATTGTTAAAGTTGAAATCGGGAATGAATATATATATATATATGTTACAGTTAATGTGCTTATTTAGCCAGAAATTTACACCTAGTTTACAGAATAACCAAATAGGCATATTAACAGATATATAGCATGTAGACTAAAATAACACAATCGGTTGAATTTGGACCACGGACGGTCCTAGGGGTTGATCCAGTAATTTTAACATTTCCGGCTTTCAAACTGCAAAGGCCAATTACGGAATTATTACAAACAAATCACTTGTATATGTGATTTCGTATTACATTTATTTAATTTTGTTGCAGATACAAGTTCGGCTTACATTTGTAGCACGTGTAACAAAAAATACAAACATTATAGCACTCTAAGGCGACATGAACGATTAGAATGTAATAAAGAAGCCCAAGAAATTTGTCAGTTTTGCCAGAAGCGTTTCAAGCATCGACATCATTTAACAGTTCATATTTTGTTGGTTCATAATAATAATCAAAATTCNTCGGCTTACATTTGTAGCACGTGTAACAAAAAATACAAACATTATAGCACTCTAAGGCGACATGAACGATTAGAATGTAATAAAGAAGCCCAAGAAATTTGTCAGTTTTGCCAGAAGCGTTTCAAGCATCGACATCATTTAACAGTTCATATTTTGTTGGTTCATAATAATAATCAAAATTCATAATCGTAAATACAAAGGTATATTTATTTATTTTGAAATGTTCAAAAGTATTTTTTAATTGTAAACACTAAAATATTACTGGTACATATATTAATATTTGTATTTTCGTAAAAGAAAACTTAAAATCTGTGTTTCTCGACTTTAATAACAATAAATTAATATATGAAAAATGGTAACATTTTACGCGGCTGTTTTATTTTCTGTACTCGCATGCTGTAGTAAGGCTTATTACAGACTAAGTGCCTAAAACGCGCGGCACATAGCGGTCCTTTCGGGATTTCTCAAGTAACCCACTGCATTATTTCAAATAAGCAATTTCACATGAAATTATCTTTCGTTTAGTGAGAAACTGATAAGGTATTTTAAATGAATTTTCTAGTAATGTAGATGTCTTGCAACTCATGATATTGACAGCTATTTTTTCAGGATATTTATTCATTTGTACAAACTGTGGACGAAAGTATCAAGCAAAGTACACGCTGAATAGACATGTGAGATATGAGTGTGGAGCTAGTCCAAAATTTCAGTGTCACCGTTGTGAGAGAAAGTTCAGCCGGAAAGACCAACTAAAACGTCATATATTGAGTACTTGCATCAAACAACCCGTTTATAATATTTATAATTATGATTCTAATCTACCTAACACACAGTATCCCTACCCAAAATAAATATTATATCATACCAACAATACTTTTAATCTTTAAATATTAGTATTAAGTATATTTTATTTCATTGACAATGACAAACCGAGATAAAAATGTTCAGTCTTTCAGAGTCTCTGAACAAGAGACTCGAATCTCTAAACGAGAGACCCGAATCTCTCAATAAGTGGTTAAAATTTCAACATATTTCAGAGATCCCAGTCTTTCTACGAGAGACTCGAGTCTCTCAATTTTTCAGTTTTATTCATTCAGTCTCTCTGAACGAGAGACTCGAATCTCTGAATTAACAATTTTATCGTTCGAGTCTCTCATACAGAGACTGTGAGAGATTCATAAAAACACCTAGGCAATAACTGAGAGACTGTGAAAGACTGTGAGAGACGCTCTCAGAGACGCTGAAAGACTTTGAGAGACTGAAAATTTTTGTCTAAGGAAATTGCTAAACGAATTTTACATTATATGCTCTACCTGTGTATTTATGAAAAAAATGTAATTTTATTGTAACGTTTCTTGACCTACACGATTTCAGATGGGAATTTTATTTATTTCATTAATTATGCCTATGTATTATGTATATGTGTTACCTATGTATGTATAAATATAAATTTTTAAAAAACAAAAATAAGCACGTATTTATTTAACGAATTGTACATGACACGCGGCTCTTCCGCTCAGTGTGAACGCATTTTAAATATTCTTAAACGATACTTCGGATAACTATTACCAATTTGTAATGTGTTTTAATGTATTTTTTTTCTTGTAGTAGCGTATCGAGGATGCAGTAGAAGACAACATTTTCCAGACGCTAATGGACGATATCGATGTCATAGATGTAACAATTCTTATAAGCAATCAACGCATTTAGTAAGGCATTTGAATTACGAATGTGGCGTCGAACCGAAATTTACTTGCAACTTGTGCTACAGAAAATTCAAACAACGTTGCAATTACAAAACCCATATGAAGTTGGTGCACATGATATACGAAGATTGTCAGGAAAATAAGCAAAATATTATGAAGACATTACGGCATCATAAATAAATAAATTACTTTGTGATATTGAAAAGTTCTTTACACAACGTAGTGCATCATTTTTAGAATTTTTATGATTTGTTAGTATTAGTTTCTTTATTGTAATTTGTGAGTAGAATATAGACGTACTTGTTTTTTTTTTTTTTAATATATTTTGTTTGAAATATACTCGAGCGATATAATTTGCTCGTAGGTACATTCCTGCTATCTAGAAGAATTAGGTAACGGAATTATTTTGAAACCTAAAAGGAGATGGTTATATTCAAGCATAAAATATGTATTGTGTTGTGTTAATTGAGACCTGTAAGCTATAAAAAATTCGTAGAGTTGTCTAGGTGGTGGAAATATGTATGTACATAAATAGAACGCCAAAGTAATTTTCACCCTGTTATTAGAATACGTATTACAAGACGACTAGAGATATGAGCAAACGCTTGAAGGGGATGATTCTGTCGAAAAGTGTCGAGAATAAATAAGAACGAAAAAAAATGCAAAAGTCGCCGTGTTCAGTTCAATTCAGTTACAATTGCATAACTGTGTGTGATTTCAACTCCTATCTTTAGTCTCTTGACGTATTTATTCACATTATTTGATAGTAGTAGTTCCGAGTCTGACATTTGTAAAATTTCAGCTCAAGATCTAAGTATGCGTGGCCTTTGGGGCGGTTGGCCGGCTCATATGGCATTGCCCTTGTTATTGATGCGCGAGAGTATGAAAAGTACTTTAACGCACACGTCAACCGACGGGGTTGATTTATCAATGAAATCGCCAAAATTAGCCCGTAGCACATCGTCGGATAATAACTCTCCAGGATTCGATTGTCAAGATTGCGGACGTATTTACAAGTTGAAAAGCTCATTAAGAAACCACCAAAAGTGGGAGTGCGGCAAAGAACCGCAATTCAAATGTCCTTGTTGTCCTTATAGGGCTAAACAAAAGATGCACATGGCTAGACACATGGAGAGAATGCATAGGCCTCCTGATAGTCCAATTGTTAAAGTTGAAATCGGGAATGAAAATGTCGAAACCGAAAGTGGAGATATGGATTAACCGCGCGAAATTCTACAATGAATGATTATTAAATCTGAAATAAAGAAATTAAAAAAAAAAAAAACAATATTTTTTGTAGATTATCTACATGCATTAGCCAATATTTGAAGTGAAACTTTTATAAAGGAACGACGCGACGTCAATTAAGTGTCTCTTATCTTATCCCCTTTCTATCTCCCGTATGCTCTCCAAGCTCTCTCGTTATTTCCCTTCCATATGCTGTACGAAATTAAATCAACATTGTAGACAAGATTTTCTATTTACCCCCTCCACCTCTCTGTCTTTACATCTCATTAATTTTTCGACTTGCAAAGTATGTTACAAAAGTTTCATTTATAAAGTAGATATAGAAAATAGATTGCAAATTTTTTAAGTTTTAGGATAGAATAATAATAATCTTGGACGTTCCCTAATTTCAGTCGCTTCTCAATAAAATGTATCTAAGTAGTATTAGAAGTACCTACAAAAATTTTGTTCGCAAAGTAAATATTCTTTCATTTTTCTTTTCAAGCAGCATTCTCGAGGGTAAAACAATAGCCCCAAGTTGTTGCTGCGGCTACTCAGAGATGTAGATGTAAAAAAAAATACTTATGACACAGTATCCATTGTAGATCTCAATTGTAGACGGATTTAGCATTTTCATTTTTAACTGCTCACTGAAAAGCAATAAATCTACCTCCTACATTTATAATAATTATTTATTTTCCAACGTCATATTATGTAATAAAGAAGCCCAAGAAATTTGTCAGTTTTGCCAGAAGCGTTTCAAGCATCGACATCATTTAACAGTTCATATTTTGTTGGTTCATAATAATAATCAAAATTCGTAATCGTAAATACAAAGGTATATTTATTTATTTTGAAATGTTCAAAAGTATTTTTTAATTGTAAACACTAAAATATTACTGGTACATATATTAATATTTGTATTTTCGTAAAAGAAAACTTAAAATCTGTGTTTCTCGACTTTAATAACAATAAATTAATATATGAAAAATGGTAACATTTTACGCGGCTGTTTTATTTTCTGTACACGCATGCTGTAGTAAGGCTTATTACAGACTAAGTGCCTAAAACGCGCGGCACATAGCGGTCCTTTCGGGATTTCTCAAGTAACCCACTGCATTATTTCAAATAAGCAATTTCACATGAAATTATCTTTCGTTTAGTGAGAAACTGATAAGGTATTTTAAATGAATTTTCTAGTAATGTAGATGTCTTGCAACTCATGATATTGACAGCTATTTTTTCAGGATATTTATTCATTTGTACAAACTGTGGACGAAAGTATCAAGCAAAGTACACGCTGAATAGACATGTGAGATATGAGTGTGGAGCTAGTCCAAAATTTCAGTGTCACCGTTGTGAGAGAAAGTTCAGCCGGAAAGACCAACTAAAACGTCATATATTGAGTACTTGCATCAAACAACCCGTTTATAATATTTATAATTATGATTCTAATCTACCTAACACACAGTATCCCTACCCAAAATAAATATTATATCATACCAACAATACTTTTAATCTTTAAATATTAGTATTAAGTATATTTTATTTCATTGACAATGACAAACCGAGATAAAAATGTTCAGTCTTTCAGAGTCTCTGAACAAGAGA